TAACAAAAAAAAAACACTAACTTAAGACACTTGAATGTATTTTAAACTATTATTCAACCTACAATTTTTGCAATACGGAATTCTGTTAAATCGCTTTTTTTTTCCTACCTAAGTTGAGAGCCTTGAGAGGCTATTTCAGCGTAACCTTAACTAGTAGATGAGCTCACGGGGCTCAAACCTGACGACGTTGCTAACACGAACCCTAGCAAGAGCCGTGTTTCGCAGAATCTACCGCCGGATCGGAAACGCGACCCACTGAGAAAATCCGGCGAGAAACTTAGTAGGCTGTGTCTGAGGGTTTTTACTCGTCGAGTCCTTCGTCGCAAGCGACGGGTTCGACGAGAACGATGACCGGCTAAATCGCATTGGCATTTAAAACGTTCACAAAAAAGACTAATTTAAATGAATTCCACTAAATTCTATTCTATTCTATTCTATCAGCCCACAAAGGTCCACTACTGGACATAGCCTCGCCAAAAAGAGGGAACCTAAGAAGTCCACTACATTTCAGATCGATAAATCATCTTTGATAGCGATGATTAGGTAAAAATCCGAAACGAGATTTATATATATTTTTTAAATTATGAACAATTACAAAGAAAACCTCTCCCTCACTGCATTTCGTGTAATTTGTACGGAAATAGTGAGCACGCGCGCCAACCGGCAGACATTATCGGTTCGTCTCGGATTTCAAATTACGCGCCGGTGTCGGGTGGCGCCCTCCCGATGGTCGCCACGGCAACGCACAGGTGTCGTATCGATCTCCTATCTGGCTATGTCTGCCTGGTACTTTTAGTTAAAACAGTGACGACATTTCAGGCGATGAACCGTTTTTAATTATTTCTTAATCATTTTATTTATCATTAAAGCAATTAACCTCTGGCGTTGTTATTGTCATGGCAGGGTCATAAATATTAAGGACTTTAACCTCATCAGACACGTTAACACATGTCCATTTAGTTCTTTCTTTTTTAATTATTTAAATATTTTAATAAGTCTAGCTACATATATGGATATATACTTTTTAAAATAAATGTCACTACATTGGTTTCTTTTTTACTTATTGTTTTCTTTTTTGTAACAGTTTTCTTTTTTTTTCCTACCTATGCTGATAGCCTTGAGAGGCTATATCAGCTTCTCCCTAACGTGTAGGTGAGCTCACGGGGCTCAAACCGGAGTGTTGCTAACATTGGCTCTAGCAAGAGCAGCGCTACGCAGAATCTACCACCGGATCGGAAACGCTACCCACTGAGAAGATCCGGCGAGAAACTCAGTGGGTTGTTTTCAATACTAGTGGCCCCGCAATAGTCGAGATTCGACTATAGTTAATTGAAATTATAAGTTTAAACATTATTATGGCTCTATTGTCAAAAACTATTATAATTCGATAATATAATCACAGTATTCGCCAAAACTGCACTATAGATCAATAATATTACAGACAAACAATATTAATCTATTTTCAATTCGACCACAGACTTTAAACAATAACAAGTTTCCCAATTGACAGTAAACAAAGAGTATATTTTTATGTATGTGTTGTGTCAAATACATGGTAGTGTGTGTAATGTTTTCTTTATTGATTTAAAGTATCTTTTACGCATTATTTAAAAAAATATTAGCATTGTGCACTCCTTCTCTATATTCTCTATAAGTGTGAGAAATTTCATACTCCTCCGTCCGCGCAATTTTCGTAAAAAGGGGTACAAAGTTTTTGCTTCATGTATTAATATATAGATAAAGTGAGCAAATCGCAATGAGGAATATTTTAGATACTTGTTTTTTGGATTTTAATATCTTTAAATCGTCCTTGAAGAGGTTAAATGGAAAATGAAATTAAAAGGAAAAGTTGTGTAGACAAATTTATATTACAAACATTTTTGGGCACGACTAAGCCAACTTCAATCAAGTTCGCCTCGGATTACACAGTGAAGAGTTTCTGATGATCGGAACTTGGCACACCGCGTATTCATCAGATATCCGAATAAGATAAAATTAAAATATTTTACATTAATAATTTTTTTAATCCAAAATTTATTGGAATTAATTATGTCGCTTGGCATTAAATATTTTAATACTGAATTAAGCTGTTTTGGTAAATCAAACACGGATTTAATTATTCAATGTCACATTCTAATTGTTTTCATTTTATAATTTTTCGAGATAATTTATTTTAACCATGACACTCCACAATTGAAGTGGAAGTCAGTTAATGTTAACCTTGAATTTTTTTTATGAGTATATTTACAGCATTATCGGGATCGTATATTTAGCAAATTGAAAATATAATATACACAGTTTAAAAACAAAAAAGGGCATGTTTAAATAGCAAATAAAACTAAAAATAGGCCAGAATATTAGAGCGAAATTATAAAATTTTTGTATCGTCATTGGCTCTTGATGCGTGTTTACTTTTTAAATTTAATCGGACGTTTTAAAATCGATATTCGTTATATAAAAAACAAACATATGTATTTGTATTTGGAGAGGAATTAATGGATATCAAGAAATCGAGTAGGGAATTAGTAAATTTAAATACACTTTCTGATCTATTAACCGTTACCTCAATGTAATAATAATAATAAAAAAACGAATAAAAAACATAATTCGGAGCTGATGGGATAACAAACACAAATTCCTTGGTTCTAAGCGATTACGGGAAGGAAACATGGCGTACTTATTGTAAATTCCTATAGATGGCTTCCGACCATGAACCATACGTGAGTTTACGAGTATCTATAGATAACTTCCGACCATGAACCATACGTGAGTTTACGAGTATCTATAGATAACTTCCGACCATGAACCATACGTGAGTTTACGAGTATCTATAGATAACTTCCGACCATGAACCATACGTGAGTTTACGAGTATCTATAGATAACTTCCGACCATGAACCATACGTGAGTTTACGAGTATCTATAGATAACTTCCGACCATGAACCATACGTGAGTTTACGAGTATCTATAGATAACTTCCGACCATGAACCATACGTGAGTTTACGAGTATCTATAGATAACTTCCGACCATGAACCATACGTGAGTTTACGAGTATCTATAGATAACTTCCGACCATGAACCATACGTGAGTTTTGATGGGAGAGATAATATCCAGATCAATTAATTACACGAAACTTATGGCAGCATGAGTGTGTAATCCGCTGCTGCAAATACCTAAGTTAACATATTATATTTTTCTGTGTTTTAATTACAGCCCTCACACGGCAGACAAAAGGCCAAAATATGTTTAACAAAATACTTACTGTTTTTTTGGTATTGCGTCGATTTATGAACAATCAACTATTAATTGCCTATCGAGTCCATGGACATCACAACGTGGATGCTTTCACCCACTATGAGTCTTGGGGTTAATGTCCCGAATGTATAGTATGCCTATTTCGGCCTATTTCTGCCATGAAGCAGTAATGCATTTCGGTTTGATGGTTCGACTTGACTTGAGAACTGATGTGTCAAGATGGGAAGCGGCATTAACGTGGTTAATGTCTATGGGCTCCAGTGACCACTTAACACCAGATCGGCAGTGAGTTTGTTCATCTATCTAAACAATAAAATTTACAAAAAAAACCTCCATGTACCCGTCTGCAGTGGTCAGTGAATATTTAATAACTCATTTATTTTTATAAATTTAATTTCGTGAATAATTAAAAGTAATAAGTATGAACCTGTTTCTGACAAAGAGTAAATCATAAACACTCTTTATGTAGAAGGAGCATTTGCGATAAACGTCTCTTACCTACAACTCTGCATGGGGACGAAGGTAATTTAAAATTAATTAAAAACTTTTTGTTCATAGATAATACACATAGATTGGTTATAGATTAGCAACTCAAGCACTCAACAAACAAACACATGAATCTCCTCTACCCATCACATGTATATACCACGCTAAGCGCGCTTAATATTTATTTATTTATTTAAATAAGTACTGCCACATCACAAACATCTAACATTGAAAATAAATTTGAACTACTTAATTTATGGCCTGATGCAGGTGACAACAATGGCGTACATAGCATTGGCAATTCATCGGCTCGAAAATGGAATACAATAATAATAATAATAATAAAAAAACAGTACTATTTGTTGAAATGTTAATAAAAATGTCTAAAAATGTCATTTCGTATCAAAAAGAAGAAAAGAAGAAATGTTAATACAATGTCAAGCAACAACAAGTCAGTTATAGAACAACAAATGATTAAAGATTAAAGTTTACTAGAGGTCCCGCAGTAGTCGAAATTCGACTATAATTAATGGGAATTGTAAGTTTGTACACTATTATGATTGTATTTTCAACGCCAAGACTACAACACTATAGAAAAATATTAATAAAGACAAACAATATTTAATCTATTCTCAATTTGACCACAGACGTCAAGAACAAAAGTTTGACAATAAATAAATAGTATGCATGCGTGTGTGTGTCAAATACATAGTGTGTGTAATGTTTTCTTTATAGATTTAATGTATCTTTAACGCATTATTTAAAAAAAAAAATTAGCATTGTGCACTTCTTCTCTATCTCTATACTAATATTATAAAGAGGAAAGATTTGTTTGTTTGTTTGTTTCGAATAGGCTCCGAAACTACTGGACCGATTTGAAAAATTCTTTTTCCATTAGAAGCCGACATTGTCCCTGATGAACATAGGCTACTTTTTTTTTATTTTTTTTTATTTTTTTTTTTGGTTTCATGTGTGTTTTAATGTTTCCGAAGCGAAGCGAGGGCGGGTCGCTAGTCCTCTATAAGTGTGAAAAATTTCATACTCCTCCGTTCGCGCAATTTTCGTAAAAAGGGATACAAAGTTTTTGCTTCACGTATTAATATATAGATATATTTTTATATTGAGACGTTCTAGCATTTTTTATTCTTTGTTATTAATCGATGATAAAAACGTATCATCATTAATTCATGAGTAACCTTGCTTAATCTAATCAGTTGTTGTGGCTACTCTTTATGAGAGCGCGTGTTCTGTAAATTATCATTTCGTTACAAAATAGTGATGTTTAAATTCAGAAAAATGTTAAATTAACGTAAAGTGAAGTGTTCAAATCGAATGTGACGAACGAAAATAATTTGTTTTTATTTCGAAATATTATAAGCATCTTTTGACCTTGGAGTCTTGTCAGGTAAAATTCTTTAAATATTTTTTTTGTTTTCCTACCTATGCTGATAGCCTTGAGAGACTATTTCAGCTTCTCCTTGACCAGTGAGCTCACGGGGCTCAAACCGGGAGAGTTGCTAGCACTGGCCCCAGCAAGAGCAGTGCTTCGCAGAATCTACCACTGGATCGGAAACGCGACCCACTGAGAAGATCCGGCGAGAAACTCGTGGGCTGTGTCTATGGGCTAATTTACTCGTCGAGCCCTTCGTCGCAAGCGACGGGTTCGGCGAGGACGGAGACCGGACTTAAGTAATGAATAATTCTAGACGACTTTACGACGCATTTGCAGGTATTCAAAGTCGTCGTGGCCTAAGAGATAAGACGTCTGGTGCATTCGTGTTGAGCGATGCACCTGTGTTCGAATTCTAGGCGGGTACCAATTTTTCTAATGAATTACGTACTCAACAAATGTTCACGATTGATTTCCACAGTAAAGGAATAACATCGTGTAATAAAAGTGAAACCCGCAAAATTATAATTTGCGTAATTACTGGTGGTAGGACCGCTTATGTGTCCGCGCGGGTAGGTACCACCGCCCTGCCTATTTCTGCCGTGAAGCAGTAATGCGTTTCGGTTTGAAGGGTGGGGCAGCCGTTGTTACTATACTGAGATCTTAGAACTTATATCTCAAGGTGGCGCATTTACGTTGTAGATGTCCATGGGCTCCAGTAACCACTTAACACCAGGTGGGCTGTGAGCTCGTCTACCCGTCTAAGCAATAAATAAAAAAAAGCTATGCAAAGCAATAACGTGGCTGACACAGAATGATCTGTAATATCTTATTTAAAGATTGTTATAAAAAAAATTATTGTGAGAGTTCACAATAACATCAAAACCGGATAAATGATAAGAGTGCATGAAATACAAACATCGGCACATGCATTTCTAAATATGAATGACTTTTAGATAAGTTTTTTTTTTAAATATATTACAAGAAAAAAATTTGATACGTATTTATCAAATTCATATATTTCAAATGCTCTGCATGTGAGCACGAAATGTGAAATGTGGGTGTGGCGGAGGATGCTACGAATACCGTGGACTGCCATGAGAACTAATTAGTCCATTCTAAGGCAGCTAAACAGCCGAAAAAGGCTCTCTTCCATCTGCCGGGAAAGTGTTATGAGCTACTTCAGACACATCCCGCGGTTCTCCCAGACATGAATTAGAGAAGCTCATAATTGCGGGTCGCATAGAGGCAAGTGCGCCAGAACACCAGACAGATGGTCAGATATAGCAAGAGAAGCACATGGTGGTAGTCTGTACCATGCCACCCATGCCACCCATGATCGAGCACAGTGGAAGAACGTCACATGTGGTCGCGATCGTCGGCAGTGAGGGAACGATATAGAAGAAGAAAGTGAGCACGTAAAAGCCCATAAAATATTTACACGCTAAAGTAAAGTTTGTATAACTTTGTTTTTTGCCCTACCTGTTCGTTGGTAGTTTAAGGGGCTATACCAGCTAGGCGCGGACGGGGAGAGAACTGCTTACTCTAGAAAGAGCAGTGCTTCACTGAATCATCACTTGTGTGCTTAATGCGAGTTTTTTAACGTTCTCGACAGCGTCAAAGTTAACTGAAAGTATGCAGTTGGAACAGCGCCCCTAGCGGCAAACGTAGGCATACGTTCCAACCCCATACAAATTTGTTAAAAAACTCTCACTAAGCAACACTGGTCGTAATCGCGACCCACTGAGAAGATCCGGCGAGAAACTCAGCGGGCTGTTTATATGAGTTAGTTCGACGAAAACGGTAACCAGCAGGGCTCTAAAACTGCGATACGTTAAGACAAATATTTTGTTTGTATGGAAACTAGCGACATCTTGTAGCGCATGCCCCTAAACTTATATGTTGTTAAAGTTAAGGCATTTCATTACTGTATAACTAAACACAGAAAGAAAAACTAATAAATCATACAAGTCTTTATTTGTTATAGACAATTTGTGATTTATGAAAATTTACAAAATGCTTCATTAAAAATAAAATACAAGCTAATAGGTAATATGTTACTGCCATCTACAGGAGCAATAAGAAACTAATCGAAGCGAAGCCATCTAGTGGCCGACGCCCGTATACATTTTTGTTGAGTGCTTGAGTTGCTTATCTATGACTAATTTATGTGTATTATATAAGGTAACCAGTGCTTGAGGGAGTCCTGCTTATTTCTGCCGCTATGTATATAAGTGCTTCGATTTGAATGACATGTTGGACCAATGCTTTTTTCCCAATATCTTATACCTTTAAACGAACAATTCTTGTATATTAATATATATGTATATAATCTGAATCTTGGAAACGGCTCCAACGATTTTCATAAAATTTAGTATACAGGGGATTTCGGGGGCGATAAATCGATCTAGCTACGATTTATTTTCAGAAAATGTTGTTTTATTCGTGTTTTCAATAATCAACTTTATCGATAATCAACTTTATGACTCTTCCCGACATCTATTGGCGAATAATAATACTATTTTTCTTAATTGAGGGCAACTAACCGCTTTAAAGACACAACAAGATGGCGCTATAAAAAAAAAACGAGCAAGGCTCGGTCTTCATCTAGTATTAGTTTAAGGGGCTATTCCAGCTATACCGTTATTAATCTTAGTGCAATGCTGTCACAAACGAAACTAATTCGGACATCCGAAGTTTTAATGAAAATATGCATCGCAAGACCACACCCATAAATGCCAATTTAGTTCATTTAGAAATACGATAAGTGTTATAATCATTTGATAAATTCGATATCATTGATACGTAAAATTTAACTATAGTTCCAATTTTGTTATTTTTTTAATTCTAGTGCTTTTTAGGTCAAAAGACACAGTTTTGTTTAACAAAAAGCATATTGTCGCTACTTTGAAACATAGTCACAGACCGTCCATCTGATGGCGAGTCGCTGACATCAACAATGTCAGTGTCCAAGCCAGGTCGCTGCCTATCATGAAGCACATTCGTTAAGCCGTACCTTAAGCATTATCTGTTTTATTGTCAAAAGGAATGTTTGGGTTTCGTATAAAAATTAAAAGTTTTTGGAACTAAATTCCTTATGGGACGATGCGGAGGGGTACCCTAACCGGGAAAAAACGTCCGTAACGTAACATTTTTATTAGTAATGCACACAGTGTACGACTTAACTTTGTAATAACAAACAAATTAGTAATGCACACAGTGTACGACTTAACTTTGTAATAACGTACAAAAAATAACATTTTTGTATCATTGACCACATTCATTGACCACGATCTCAGAGCGTTCGTTTGCGCAATACACTAAGCTCTTATGCAAACAACCGTGAATGAAGTGTACCACAATAAGTTCGCACGTTACCAAATGACCGTGGGTTGTTGCGAAACCTCCAGTTTTATTTTCTTTATACCTCGAATAGAATTTAAAGTTAATATTTTTTTATCCGGTGTCCCACGACACCACACTTATTTTTTTTTACCAAAGGTATGGCTTTGCCCGTGTCTCTCATTTAGACATAATAAAAATTTAACAATTGATTCGTGATACCGTCTCGTCACTTAGTTGAATCGGCAAGAAACTCACGACTTCTCGACTTAGAACACTGAATAAATATAACATAGCAAGACTTAATATCAAAATATAGATGAACAGAATAAGATCTACCAAATTACAAAATTACATTAGTCGGCGGATTCAATAATAGCGTTATTATTAACATTTTCGCGTTCGTCTAAAAGATTTTCCCCAGATAATGATTTAAGCACGTGGCGCTCTTCAACCAATGTTCACAAACATCCACAAATATAGCTATTTTGCGAAAATATATCAAATATATACCTTAAAGCACGCGAAATAAGAGCCACAGTCATTAAGGGACTGGCTGAGGCAGTGCCAAGTAATGAACGCGCTCGACTGTAACGGAAATTAACAAAAACGCTCTGTATGTTTCAGAGTTAAGAGACTCATAATTTTCAATCAGCTGCACAAGAAAGTTTGTTACAAACATAAAACGTACTCGAATTCTATTGAAAGTATAACGATGAGAGATTACTTTTTTATTGCTTAGATTGGTTGACTAGCTCACAGCCCATCTATTGTTAAGCGGTTCCAGGAATTAGGAACATACATGCCGCCACCCACCTTGAGACATTAGTACTAATTCTCGGTTTTATAGTACAACACATTAAAGGAATCAAAGGGACATCGGAATTTTATGTTGGAGGGAAATTTCTGATTATAAATAACTTCCTGAAGCACTGGAGACTTGTAATTTTTAAAACAGCCCAATCTTTAATGATAATGCAAGTGAAGAAGAAAGAAAGAAGACAATTATTGCCTTATCATCATTATCCTGCCCTTCTCCCAGTCACCTGGGGTCTTCGCAACATGTTTTCTCCTTCCATACTCTTCTATCATATACCATTTCTTCGCTCACTCCCCTTTTACCCATATCGTCTTTCACACAATCCATCCATTTCGTCTCATTACCTGTCCATACCATCCCAAACGCACACTCCTCAGCTTCTCTGTCACAGGTGCCACTTTCAGACTTCCTCTAACATATTCATTCCGTATACTATCCATTCTCGTTACTCCACACATCCATCGCAACATTCGCATCTCTGCTGCATGCAATCGCCTTTCATCCGCCACTTTTGTTGTCCAACATGCTGATCCATACAAGATGGCAGGCCTTATTAAGGTCTTATAACAATTATTGCCTTATATCGTGTTATAAAAATGTCGTATTTTAAAATTACAAGCAATGTTCTTCCTACTTGTGGTAGGACGTCTTGTGAGTCCGCACGGGTAGGTACCACCGCCCTGCCTATTTCTGCCGTGAAGCAGTAATGCGTTTCGTTTTGAAGGGTGGGGCATCTTAAAACTCATTACGTTGTAGATACCTATGGGCTCCGGTGACCACTTACCACCAGGAGGGTCGTGAGCTCGTCCACCCAACCTAGCGATAAAAAAAAGACATAAAATAACTTAGCAATAATTGTATAATATGATAGGTTAACTGATGAAAAGCTTGTAGTTTAATTAAAATTTGTTGAAAATTTGTGAATATACTAGTGAAATCATTTGTATTGTTCGCAGGATCTGAAGGAAACGTATAACGACCATGGAAAAACTCTTCGAGTATAAATATTTGTCTCAAAAGCATTTAGACGGATTTAAGAAATATAAGGTGACTATCGAATGAGATCAAATGGTTGTTAGCAAGGCCCATTCATTGGACTAACTATTATTAGTGCTTTTTTTTTTTTTTTTATTGCATTGATGAGTGGACGAGCTCAGGGCCCACCTGGTGTTAAATATTTACCAGAGCCCATAGACATCTACAACGCAAATTCCGCCACTCACCTTGAGATATAAGTTCTAAAGGTCTCAATATAGTTACATCGGCTGCCCCACCCTTCAAACCGAAACGCATTACTGCTTCACGACAGAAATAGGCAGGGTGGTGGTACTTACCCGTGCGGACTCACAAGACGTCCTACGACCAGTAACTTTATGTACAAAATGATGAAAAATGATGAAAAAAATACTATGTACAAAACTAATAAGCAGTCGTTTGTAACCACGAAAAATGCTATCAAAAACAATAATTTTGAAATGCATAAAATGATCTAAGTCCGTTATAGTCTTTTTTTAAGCTATTGCATAGATTTTATCGCGGGCTTTGAGCACGACGACTGAATCAAGAAATTCCGTAACGAAAATAACCTGACACCCCCACTACGTCAACTATGTAGCTCGCGTTCAACATATTCATACATTGCGCTTGTGTAGTGTTTGTGAATAAGCGCGTGGCGTGACATCACACTGCATGCGCCTCATGAAAAGTCTGCCCATCTCTCTCTCGCGCGGTCTAGCTTACGAGTGCGAAGGGGACAGTTAATGTTTTGCTTTTATTAATGTTTAACATAGCGTACTCTTGTTTTATTTATTGTTTTAATATTAAATTATCATTGTCTAATTATAATTGCATAAGTTGATAAAAAATGCTATGCAATAGCTTTACCGCGGCAGTTCCCGAGTGCCACACGTTTTATTATTTTAATAGTACAATCAAGGGATTGATTTTAAGAAGCCTCATTTTTTTTAACCCTTTGCTTTGTGATTCGCGACCCATATCGTGTTAAATGCTTACCGGAGATTATCTTGAGAGGTAGAATACATTAAAAAGATGTATCGCCCTTATAGCCAAAGCATGGGACTGCTTCGCAATAGGCACCTCCAGTAATAACGCAAATTAAGGAATTTAGTAAATTTAATTTATACAACACGGTTAGCGTGGTATGGACATGTGATGCATAGATCGGAGATGCATGTGACTAGGAGATGTATGGGATTGTTAGTGCAAGGTAGAGGGGGAAGAGGTCGACCGAAGAAGACATGGATGGAGTGTGTGAATGATGACATGACATAGAGAGGAGTGAGTCTTGAGATGACGGCTGATAGAAGAGAATGGAATAGAAAAATTCGCTGTGCCGACCTCAGTGAGATAAGGTGGAGAGAAAAAAAAGTGTGTGTGTCCGCTCCGACGCACGACTGGAGTTTACTGGATATAAAAAATTAAACGAAACAATACGAGAAATAGTTCTATATTACGACAACACGATACACTACAGATTATTAACAAATTAACGAGACACAAAACAAACGACTAACAAATATATGAAAATACAATAATGAGAGAAACGCGCGATCAGTACGAGGCTTTGTGGCGGACTGCCGGCGCAGCAGCCCGGCGTCACCTGCGATAACGCGGCCGCGCGTTGGCTCCTGATTGGCGCGCGCACGCATCACGCAATCAGGAGCCAATCAGGCGCATAACGCATTTCGTGTGACATGCTAGTACGATTTTGATTGGCGCGCGCACGCATCACGCAATCAGGAGCCAATCAGGCGCATAACGCATTTCGTGTGACATGCTAGTACGATTTTGGTCCCCATAATTTTCATACCCCGGGCCTATATATGTAAATCGATTCTAAAGGAGTAAACTCCAAAAAGAAGACAACACGCCATTATATATACCTACTGTGTACACATGGGTCGCTGTGGTGTCATCTCCCATGGGATGTTACGACAGTAATTCATTGTGATGTAAATATAACTACTAACATAGGTCTAAGTCTTATTAACAATTTATATGAGTCATGGTTACTGCAATAAAAACATTATTATTATTATTATTATTCTAGATTTCCCCTTTCTCAGCCCAGTCTATCGACAGAGCCGGCAGAACTGTATATACGGGCTTTTGGCCAAGTAACATACAGTAGCTATGAGTTATTAGGCTAGTTTTTATTACGTGTAGTATTCTTCAAGCTGCAGGAACTTTATTATTATTATTATTATTATTTTTGGCTTATAGAAGTCAGTCAAAAGTATATGCTAAGTGCATATTCCATTTGAAAAATTGGTGGCTGTCTGCGTTATTTAAATATTGGCTCGGTCTTGGCGAATCGATTAAAGACATGATTTCATTTTGCTTACTCGCGGAGCAATAAATACATAGAGTATTTGCGTATTTATTTTTACCACATTAATCAACGTTTATCTGACTTTTTATTTACTTTTCAGTACAGCGCCATCGACACGAGTCCGCTTAGCAACTATGTTATGCATCCGAGTTGGAATTTTATCACTAGAGTACGTAGAGTATGTAATATATATTAATACGTGAAGCAAAAACTTTGTACCCCTAGTATGAAATTTCTCACACTTAGGTATAAAGAATATAGAGAAGGAGTGCAGCATGCTAATATTTTAAAAAATTATGCGTGAATAATACATTAAATCAATAAAAAAAAAAAAAAACATTACACACACTACCATTTATTTGACACACACACGCTTAGTGCGAGTTTTTTAACGTTCACGATAGCGTAAAAGTTAACTCTGATTTGTATGGAGTTGGAACAGCGTCTCTAGCGGCAAACGTAGGCAAACGTTCCAACTCCATACAAGATTGAGTTAACTTTTACGCTATCGAAAACGTTTAAAACTCTCACTAAGCACACTGATTGTTGGGACGTGGGATCCGATTATTATTACATAACATTATATTAACTATTTTATTTTAGTTTATCCCAAAATGGATCGCACCGAACCTAATAACGTTCGCCGGCTTCGTCTGTATGGTGATAGCGATTTTGCTGTTGACTATATTTGACTACGATTTCCATGGCGCGGAAAGACTTAGGCAAGGCGTAGACGAGTACAGGATACCGAACTGGGTGTTAATGGCATGCGGCGTTTTGCTGTTTTTGGCTTACAATCTAGGTGAGTTTCGTTGTTGGAGGGAGAACTCCTGGGCCATCTGTAAGTGGTTACAGGAGTTTATGGACAATCAATTAACTGATGGTAGGATGTATTACTGGTAGTAGGTCGTGTTGCGAGTCCGCACGGGTAGGTATCACCGACCTGCCTATTTCTGCCGTGAAACAGTAATACGTTTCGATTTGAAGAGTAGGGTAGCCGTTGTAACTATACTGAGACCCTAGAACGCATGTCTCAAGGTGGGTGGCGGCGTTAACGTTATAGATGTCTATGGGCACCGGTAACCGCTAAGCATCAGGTGGGCTGTGAGCTCGTCCACCCATCTATGTAAAAAAAAAAATCACAACTCTGTCACCCGCTTGAGCCTTGAAGTCTATGCCTCAATTAGGCTATTTATTACCAGAGCATTGTTTTTTTTTTATTGCTTAGATGGGTGGACGAGCTCACAGCCCACCTGGTGTTCAGTGGTTACTGGAGCCCATAGACATCTACAATGTAAACGCGTCACCCACCTCGAGATATAAGTTCTAAGGTCTCAGTATAGTTACAACGGCTACCCCACCCTTCGAACCGAAACGCATTACTGCTTCACGGCGGAAATAGGCGGGGTGGTGGTACCTACCCGTGCGGACTCCCAAGAGGTCCTACCACCAGTGAATATTGTTGATCTTTAATATTATGTGTCTGTAGTGTAGTCTTGGCGATATCTTGGATAAAAAACAAAAAAAGAGCATTGTTTGCTTTCGTATTGTTTTTAGATGGTATCGACGGAAAGCAAGCTCGGAAGCTTGGCGTGTCAGGCCCGCTGGGAGAACTCTTCGATCACGGCTTAGATTCCTACATCGTGTTCCTCATACCGTTCTCAATGATATCAATTTTCGGTAGAGACCCGGTTTACTCTCTCCCGATTTTCAGGTAAACATTTTAAATAAAGAACTTGTGTTACAGGTACCAGATAACGGTAATAAATATAAAAATTTTATTATACACATACATATATGCAATATACATCCATAACCCTGGAAAAGACATTTTATATTTATCATACAAATATCTTCCCTTGGCGGGATTGGAACCGCGACCCCCTTGTGTAGTGATGTCACTTACCACTACACCAGACGGCCGTTAATAGCATTTAAGCCTTCGTCAAACAGAAAGCGTAATTAGCGCGCGTCAGAGCGCTACGCTATGACGCCGAGATGTGTTGTACTACTATGGTAACATACCGTAGTAGTACAATACATCTCGGCGTCATAGCGCTCCGTCAGTTTAGCGCCCTGACGCGCGCTAATTACGCGTCCTGTTTGACGAAGCCTATAAACGTAAAGAGCTTGTTAGTAACGTATTATAGATAAATAAATGATAGATAATGTTTTTTTAACTGACACGCGGCTTTGGATCTTAGAAATGCCGCCGCTAGCACCTATCTTCACGCTGTACCGCCCACATAAAATCATCTAGCTAAATTTTTTTTTTTTTTTATTGCTTAGATGTGTGGACGAGCTCACAGCCCACCTGGTGTTAAGTGGTTACTGGAGCCCATAGACATCTACAGCGTAAATGCGCCACACACCTTGAGATATAAGTTCTAAGTTCTNGCGGCTTTGGATCTTAGAAATGCCGCCGCTAGCACCTATCTTCACGCTGTACCGCCCACATAAAATCATCTAGCTAAATTTTTTTTTTTTTTTATTGCTTAGATGTGTGGACGAGCTCACAGCCCACCTGGTGTTAAGTGGTTACTGGAGCCCATAGACATCTACAGCGTAAATGCGCCACACACCTTGAGATATAAGTTCTAAGTTCTCAGTATAGTTATAACGGCTGCCCCACCCTTCAAACCGAAACGCATTATTGCTTCACGGCAGAAATAGGCGGGACGGTGGTACCTACCCGTGCGGACTCACAAGAGGTCCTACCACCAGTAAAATATGATGAACTAATGATTGTGCTTGGCTAAGTTCACCCTTTAAAGCAGAAACTTTTTTATGATCGAACAATTACTAGTGGCTCGGAGGCCTTTATAGTTTCACCAGGGTAGGAGGTAGGTGAGCGAGCAAGGGCCCAGCCAGGAAGGGTGGAATTTGCTAACAGCTACCCAAGCGACTCCAAAGGAGACCTAACAACTCAAGCAGAACCTATGACCCGAGCAAGCTCACAGTTCACTCTGCCATCAGTATGAGAGGAAATTTTGTAGATTCGATGTCATTCTTGAAACCATTGTACATTTGTTATTTATTTATTGCTTATATAGGTGGGCGAGCTCATAGCCCACCTGGTGTTAAGTGGTTACTGGAGCCCATAGACATCTACAACGTAAATGCGCCACCCACCTTGAGATATAAGCTCTAGGGTCTCAAGGGTCAACTAGTAATGTTATGTTGATATGGTGAAGACACCCAAAGAATATTTTTGTCTTCATCTATGCTTCATTCGAGCCGTAATGTAAATGGATAATAATAAAAATAATATATGAATTTAAAAATTAAAGAACACCAAATTAAATAGAAAACCGAACAATTAATTAAATTCTTTTTATATCCTGTTGACACTGGTTAAGATATTAGAGCAAAGTTATGAAGCCATTGCTCGGTCTTTGCTGCGTGTGCAAATTTTCAATTGTCTTTTCATCTTGAAGTCTATGAACATGATGTTCAAAGATTATGTTACATACAGATATAAAGTATTGTAACGTTGATATGGAGAAAACACCCAAGGAAGGTTGATGTCAGACAGACGGTCTGTCGCAAAACTCACGCCAAATCCCTACGCAGCATAATCGAGCGACGACCCCTCGTAATGTCGGATAAGGACAAGAAGCAAAAGAATATCAGCAGAAGAGCATCACATATTAACGTCCCTTTCAATTCCAGGGGCTTCCTTGTCGTGATTAGCGTAGTTTTGAACTTCTACGTGAGCCACTGCGAGAAATACAACACAGGTACATTGTATTTACCCTGGGGCTATGACGTCAGCATGTGGGTAAGTCTTTCCTGTATTGAAACGCGTTTAGTTATATCCCTGCTTCGAATAGTTGTGGTGGACTTTAGTGGTTCCTAGTCTTATTATAAATCTTGCGTTTTGCCTTGTAGAGTAAAATAGTTGTAATCTCAGAGAAATTCATGGTACCAAGAATATATTTATTTACCGGTTCATGACGTCACAGCCAGCCAACGTACTCTTTCTTATGTTTCAAGTGACTATTTGTTTTTACGGGAGATTTGGTAGACGGACCAACCAGAGTTAAATCATTATCAGCGTCTACACGTCATGATAAGTAGTTTCTGATGATGAAATATTTATAACTACTGATACCATGCACCCCACGCTTTTTTACAATAAAATAATTTTTTCTTACACTATTTTTAAATCAAATTTATTTTCTATTTTTTAGTTGGATTTTCTATAAAAGCGTATTTTGTTAGTTCTTTTAAACTATTATTATTATTTATTTTTCATTTTTTAGTTAATTTTTTTTTTCATTTTTTTTTTCATTTTGATATGTCATCGGTCCTTCATAATTATACCAAATTTCAAGTTAATCCGACATATAAAGGGGGTCAAAATCATGTTCAAAGATTCCGTTACATACATACATACGTCTGAAGCTAATAAAAGCGTATTAATAGACTCACTACACACTAAAATACGCTGCAATTTCAGACTTCTTCGATGATCTTCATCGTGGCAGGGCTGTACACTCCTGGACTAGTTAAGTTCCACGTGTATGGAGACGTATCGTTCGCTTTGTTTTTCGAAGTGTTAATTCATCTCGTCGGCTTATTGGGAACGGCTCCTGTTGCTGTATACAATGTATACTTGTAAGTGTTATTTTTTTTCCTACCTATGCTGATAGCCTTGAGAGGCTATTTCAACTTCTCCTTGACGTGTAGGCGAGCTCACGGGGCTCAAACCGGAGTTTTGCTAACACTGGCCCTAGCAAGAGCCGTGCTTCGCAGAGTCACCACCGGATCAGATACGCGACCCACTGAGAAGATCCGGCGAGTTGTAAGCGTGATGTACCCACAGACTTTAGGAAAAAGTGCCTTTTTGATTGCCTTTGGAGGCAGATGAGCACACGGCTTGTTGGTGTGTAGCTACCGTCGCCCATGGACGTCAGTAATACCACGAGCACAGCCAAGCCACTAGCTTCAGATTAGTCGACGTAAATATCTATCATACATTTAACTATTTTCGTTCTGAATATTGACACTCCTCCTCCTTGCGTCGTATTCCTCATTGCTGAGGGTCGTGACCACCCTTATGTATCACCTTCGCACGCACGATCTTTCTCCATCCATTCTTGTCTCTGGCGGTGTGGAGGGCGTTGTGAAACGTCGAATCAAGAGCGGTGTGGATCTGGTCGGACCAACGTATTGGGCTGCGCCCCCGAGGTCTTTTCCCATCTACCTTACCAGCCACGATGAGCCTCTCGAGATTGCTACCATCCTTCCGTGCGATGTGACCAAAGTATTCAAGGACTCTGCGAAGACACTCGGATGACAGCCGCGAGGAGATTTTGAGTTCTTGACTATTGACACTACCGATAATAATATGTATAGTTGAATGAAAAATGTCGATTTCATGAAACTTCCGCGCCACCTGACTTAATGTGCTGGTATTATGATAGAAGGCTGTTTGGAATACCAACTAGTGCCAAGTTTCATCACAAGCGAATGGTTCAGGAACGAACATGGGACAAATAAAAACATTTTGTATATTAAGCAATGTATATCACTAGTATAAAACAAAGTCGCTTTCTCTGTCCCTATATCCCTATGTAGGTATGCTTAAATCTTTGAAACTACGCAACGGATTTTGATGCAGTTTTTTTTTAATAGATAGAGTGATTGAAGAGGAAGGTTTATATGTATAATAACATTCATTAAATAGTGGAGTAATCAATAATAAATTACAGTTACCGAAGCGAAGCGAGGGTTAGTAGTAGTAGGCTAGTATTATCTATTTTTAAGTACATATTAAGTTCCTAACTGTGCCAATGACCGACTTTTTTTTTGCCCTTTTAGGCATACGAACATACGGCCCACCTTATGGTGAGTGGTTACCATCGCCCGTGGATTTCAGCAATGCCAGGGACAGAGCCAAGCCGCTGCTTACCGCTTAATACTCTCCACAAGCCTCGTTTGAAGAAGGACATGTCATAGCGCTCGGGAAACACCGTGGAGGGGAGCTCATTCCATAGCCGGATGGTACGTGGCCAAAAAAGATCTCTGGAAACGCACTGTGGATGACCGCAGTGGCTCCAGGTAGTATGGATGAACTCTACTCCGGTGACGGGCGGTGCGATGGTAAAAACGAGATGATGGATGATGGAGAAAGTGGTTACAAATCACGAAAAAAGGTCACAGGCGGGCACACCACGATGCTCAGCAATGAGCTATCGACTGAAGGAGAAAAGGAGGATCATGTTCTCATAGGAGAATGACGTAAATAATAACAAAATTTTATTTAAGAGCCAGAAAGAATCGCCGAGCGAAAGTTGAGACATTAACGGAAGCCCTACGCCCGGTGTGGTCAATGACCCTCATCTTAGCCGCCCTTATATTCTGGGCTGTCAAATCCAAGAACGACATCATTGAGCACGACCCCAGAGCCTTCATTTTTCTCTTCGGGACACTCTTCAGTAATACTGCAGTGAGTTTCATCTTAGAATATGTTCCTGGAATATCAGAGAGAACGACAGAGAAACTACTAAATCTTATTGTACACGAAAACAATTTTTTATTTATTGCTTAGATGTGTGGACGAGCTCACAGCCCACCTGTAATAAGTGGTTACTGGAGTCCATAGACATCCACAACGTAAATGCGCCACCCATCTTGAGATACAAGTTCTAAGGTAAGTATAGTTACAGCAGCTGCCCCACCCTTCAAACGGAAACGCATTACTGCTTCAAGGCAGAAATAGGAGGGTGATAGTATCTACACGTGCGGACTCACAAGAGGTCCTATCACCAGTAAGATTTATTTATGATATTTATATATTCTTTTTTCAGTCGATAAGTACGTCGCAGCTAATTTATTTTCCTAGATAATGTATTTCTGTATTTTTTCGTCACCTCCTAAAATCTCTTAAAGCCCGTTGAAAAGACGTTCATTAATGTCTATAATATTTAATTGTATAATAAAAACATTTTTTTTATTGTAGAGTCGTCTAATGATTGCGGGAATGGCGAGTCAACGCTGCGAGCTTGTCAATTGGATGTTCTGGCCTTTGCTTACCGGAGTTGTGACGTCATTGTACAAACCTGAATACGAACTGTCGATCCTGTACGCACTTGTCGTATCTAGCGTGTTGGCACATGTGCATTACGGGATATGTGTGGTAAGTATATTTCAAACTGTTTATTGCTTAAAACACGTGGATGAGTTCACGGTCCACCTGATGTTAAGTGATTACAGATAGCCAGCGTATCGTAAAGTAAATACAGTCACCGACCTTGAGACATTGCTTTTATTATTAGTCTCATTTTTCTCAGTATAACGGCTGCCCCACTCTTCAAATCAAAACGCATTACTGCTTCACGACAAAAGTAGGGAGAGCGGTGATCAATATTTTTACGTTTTTATTTTTCTTATGTTGGTGAACGAGCTCACAGCCGTGAAGTGGTTACTGGAGGCCATAGATATCTACGACGTAAATGCGCCACCCACCTTGAGATATAAGTTCTAAGGTCTCAGTATACCTAGTTGCAACGGCTGCCCCACCCTTCAAACCGAAACGCATTACTGCTTCACGGCAGAAATAAGCGTGGTGGTGGTACCTACCCGCGCGGCCTCACAAGAGGTCCTACCACCAGTCAAAGCTTCCCAAGTGCCAGCTGCAAAGGCTATTAATTAGCAATTCCTCTTTTTTTAGTAACATGCCCAAATTCCAGGTTTCAATTCCCGGTTATTTTACTAGCGTAGGTCTTTCTTTGGTGAGGGTCACATTAGGCGACTCTACCACACTCTACGTAGAGCCGTTTTGTATCCGTCAGAATTTATTCCATCACAATGTAACTTCGAAGCTTGCTTCGTGCTTACCACGAATGTTTTGATCTATACTATTTTTCATTGATTAATATTGTTTTTGTCATTACAGGTGAAACAAATATGCGGATATTATAAAATTGATTGTTTTTTAGTGCCTAAAGAGAAACAGAAATAACGGGAATTTCTTTACCACAACTTTGTTTGTTATGTTATTACAATATGTATAATACTTTTCTAAGTAAAGAAGTTTTTCAATTTAGCGTTAAAAAAAGGGGGAGAATTTAAATATAATAATTACAATTATTTTAACGGTCTTTTCTTACAGTTTGACAATTTCCGATAATTTTTTTCCTACCTATGCTGATAGCCTTGAGAGGATATGTCAGCTTCGCCTTAACGTGTATGTGAGCTCGCGGGGCTCAAACCGGAGTGTTGCTAACGCTGGCCCTAGCAAGAGCAGTACCTCGCAGAATGCAGCGGCTTCGCTCTGCCCCTGGCATTGCTGACGTCCATGAACGACGGTGACCACTTACCATCAGGTGGGCCGTATGCACGTCTGCCTACAAAGGCAATAAAAAAAAAAGAAAAATTCCACCGGATCGGAAACGCGACCCACTGAGAAGAACCGGCGAGAAACTCAGTGGACTGTGTCTATGGGTTAGTTCGCTCGACGAACCCTTCGTCGCAAGTGACGGGTTCGGCGAAAGCGACGGGTTCGGCGAGGACGCTGACCGGTGCTTGTGGTACCTAAAAGCACCGTTAATGGATCGGGAGGATCCGTAATGACGTGTTTAGGGCGACGATAAATTGTTCACCATTCGGTCTACAGGATCGGGTATGTAATTTCCAGCAGCCACGACAAGAGGGTTCTCATGTCGTGCTGCCTTCTCAAAGTGAATTGCTCGTCAATATTCAGATATTGTACGAACATTTTAATTGAGTCTTCGACTCAAGAAATACCGTTAAAGGGAAGAGAATACAACTCTAGTTACGATCAGTGAAAGATAATCTTGACACAGTCACAGCGGGCATTCCGATTTATACTCATCTTGGATTTATACTCATCTCACTCTAACACTAAATCTAATCAAAGTTACTGCTTCCACGCGACAGAAGGCTCAGCCCACCCCAAAAGAGTCCGCACTTAAGTTGTAAGACCGGCATTTCACCTTGAACTAATGTATCTGACGATTTTTTTTTATTGCTTAGATGGGTGGACGAGCTCACAGCCCACCTGNGCATTCCGATTTATACTCATCTTGGATTTATACTCATCTCACTCTAACACTAAATCTAATCAAAGTTACTGCTTCCACGCGACAGAAGGCTCAGCCCACCCCAAAAGAGTCCGCACTTAAGTTGTAAGACCGGCATTTCACCTTGAACTAATGTATCTGACGATTTTTTTTTATTGCTTAGATGGGTGGACGAGCTCACAGCCCACCTGATGTTTATTAGCTACTGGCCTATAGACATCTACAACGTAAATGCGCCACCCACCTTGAGATGTAAGTTCTAAGGTCTCAAGTATAGCGGACTCACAAGAGGTCCTATCGGCGGTAATTACGCAAATAATAATTTTGCGGGTTTTTGATTTTTATTACACGATGTTATTCTTTCATTGTGGAAGCCACTCGTGAACATTTGTTGAGTACGTATTTCATTAGAAAAATTGGTACACCCGCCTGAGATTCGAATACCGTTGCATCGCTCAACACGAATGCACCGGACGTCTTATCCTTTAGGCCACGACGACTTTCAGACAAGCTTAGGTTAGCTTAGCTTGCATGTTTTACAAGGCTTCTTGATTTTAGGATAGTTTCTGTAACTTGACGAAGGCTAATGTTGCGTGCTTTGGATTCTTCACTAAATCCATCACTGCATCTCTAGGAAGCTTATGAAAAAATAATGCACGAAGAACTTCCACTGGTCGCACGATAATGTCTTTAGGTAGATGGTCTTGTAGAGATAGCTACTTTAGAACAGAATATATTTGACAGATGGTTGCATCGCACTAAACATATTTTCAGGCATCCGTCAAAAATCTTGTTCTATGATCGCTATTACTACATCACTTCTCTGTCTCACTCCTCCCAGAAGGTTGTGTGCTTATATTGTTGTTCATCTTTATCAGTCCAAACGTATCTTGAAAATCTTGCTAGCGCGATTTAGGTCTTTATCTTTTTTTCCTTATCTATTCGCTGGGAGCCTAGAGGGCTATTCCGGCTACGCGCGTACTGGTAGGTTGGCTTACGGGCTCAACCTGGGAGAGTCGGTTAGCACTAGCTCTAGCAAGATCAGTGCTTCCCAAAACCTACCTCCGGATCGGGACCCACTGAGAAGATCCGGCGAGAAACTCAGTGGGCTGGCCTTTACCGTGTATTTTCTATTTTATAACAGCTTCAGAGGAAACTTAGTTGGACTATTTCGTCTCTCCAGTCATAGGCGGCTTAAAATCCTCTTGAATAAATTTCTACACAAAATATCTTACTAAATAAACACTTGCAACATTTACTAACTGCTTACTATCACGAATAGATAACAAAACTTACGATGCACCCGCGAATTATCAACGTCAAATTCAAAAACCTCGCGAATCGCATCCCTAACGCCACCTCAGATAAAATTATGAGGTAAAACTCGCAAAAACCAACTTGCTCCATAATCCGTCACGTTAAAAGAACATCGCAAGGATATAATATGACACCGGGCACAATCTAATTCACGAAATAATACGTAATATTATACTTTTATAGCGAGGCAAGTGAGCATCGGCGGCGAACGCATGCGAACACCGCCTTCAGCGACTGTATGAGATAGAAAAGGACGAATATAGTTTCGCCTCCGTTATAGGAGCTACGCCTTTAAATTACACGTTCTCATAGCCTTGTAGCCGACGTAGAGTTCGATGGAACGTCACATTTGAAATCATGATGTAAGCAATTGTAGTCTGTGTGCGGCTGGTTTAAGGTTTATTTTCGCTGTTGTACTGTTTATCGTTGTGACGTTTTATGTCCGGAACGTAATTTAGTAATGGGGGGTGCTCGACACAGACACCCAAGCTGGGGTTTAGAATTTCAGTCCAGCTTCGGATGGCCGCGAAGCGCTTTGTTAGCTCATCAATTGTTTACGAACACGATTTTTTTTCTTTTATTTCCTCCGCGTGTATTACAATACGAAATTTCTTAGACGTTATTGTAATTCAATTCTTAATGTAACGAAGATATATAATTAAGCCATCTAACTATATCGAGTTACCGCATAAATATTGTGATTAATAAGTCAAAAGTGGACTTTTTTTTTTTTAAGAAAACAGTGCAAAATCTTTTAGTGTGTGCGTTTTTATTTTTATTTTAGTGTTTTTCGAGTTTTTTTTTTATATATATGAAACTTCGGTAAGTTGCGTGTTTGGTTAAAAATAACAGTTTTACTTTCTTAATCAACTGTGGTGGTGTGGAATTAAAAAATGGCATGATTGAATAAAACAAAAGCATGCGTTGAATGATTTTTTACAGTGAAATAATATTAAACATCCCAATATTATTCGTTTATTTAGAAAATACAGCTCAGTGTTTAAATGACGAATAAGCGAGGATTTTTTTAAATTAAGGCGGAAACAGAAACTTTTTGCGATAAATTTTTATTTTCTCTGATGATTTTTTAATACAAAGTAGGCACTAAAGAGAATTTAACAAAACACCTGTCACTATTTTATTAGTAATGGCGGAAATTTCAGATTGAAACTTATATATTCAGTATAAGTCATTTTTTTATGATAAGTTGAAGAAGTCGTTTTAAACAAAGTTAAGCAAAAAAAAAAACTCGGTCTTCAATTATTGTTTCGAACTTTATACATAAGTTCATTTATCAAAAAAAACGAGTGCTTAGTAATTATTGCAAATTAATAATTATAATAGAAGAATGTACTAGTTGAGTAATTCACCCGTCTAACGGATAAGAAGCTAATCCTAAAAATTAGGTATACTAGGTGTGCCCGACGATTTCATTCGATTTACATTTGAGGCCGTCAACGGAAAAGTGGCCTAACCCATAATTTTTCATATTCCTACTTATACGAGTATACCTATTGCAATTCATTTCAAACATAATAAGCGTTGACGTTACTGGTGGTAGGACCTCTTGTGAGTCCGCACGGGTAGGTACCACCGCCCTGCCTATTCCTGTCGTGAAGCGGTAATGCGTTTCGGTTTGAAGGGCGGGGCAGCCGTTGTAACTATACTGAGACTTTAGAACTTATATCTCAAGGTGGGTGGCGCATTTACGTTGTATATGTCTATGGGCTCCAGTAACCACCTAAGACCAGGTGGGCTGTGAGATCGTCCACCCATCTAAGCAGTAAAAAAAAACGTAAGATTAGCCTATTCCTAGTTTCACCTATAGATAACATATAGCTTTGTAAAACTTATTTTTGCGCGTATTGTTTTTGCCAACGAAGCAGTGTAAAAGTAAATTAAAACCTCGTTATCTCCATAATAACTATCAATGGCGGATCCAGGGGGGGTCATGGGGGTCATGACCACCCCCTGAGCTGGTTCCAGGATTTAGGTGGACCGTTTATTGTATATAATGATTTTATTTATATATTTTGTCACCATACAGATTTTATGTGACTACATACCTTCAATATTTAATTAATTTAATATAATATAATAACTTTGTATAATGGCAAACGTCTGGGAATGAACGCATCTAAATTTGACTATATGACCCCCTCCTGGCGCCAAAGCTGGATCCGCCCTTGATAACTATGGTACACTTAGGCCGCGCTGACGGCCTCAATTGTAACTCGAAAAATAATAACGATAGCACTTGTGTCATCTTTAGGGATTAACAAACGTACGGAACCTGTGTTTGTGAATCAAGAACTATAGCCGTTGAAGTCGGATAAGTAGCGTTTGTCATTCACTTAATATCCTTTGTATAAAGCAACCAAAGACCAAGCATTGAGACTACGCATTTATAATATTGTTGACGAATGAATATTGTTAAGTTACTAGTCAAACTCGGTCCGCTTTGCTAGCCGATCTTTAGTCAGATCGCTGCATAGTTTCACAGGAGCAAATGCAGGCCGTTTTGAGTCCTATCGGAGTATGTAGATTACATACATGAAGTCGTCGTGGCCCAACGGATAAGACGTCCGGTGCATTCGTGTTGAGCGATGCACCGGTGTTCGAATCCCGCAGACGGGTACCAATTTTTCTAATGAAATACGTATTTAACAAATGTTCACGATTGATTTCCACGG